CAGGGAGCCCGATGTGGGGCTCGATCCCAGGACCCTGGGATCATGACCTGAGCCGAAGGCAGACGCTCAACGACTGAGCCACCCAGGCGCCCCGATAAATAAAATCTTTTAAAAAAACAAAAAACAGGCAGCTGACTTGGGGCCGGTAGTTTACCATACCTACCTTAGGGCATTAGGGCAACTTGTTATTTTAAGAAATCCTTTTTAAGAAGTGAGTAATTCTTGGGCACCTGGGTGGCTCAGATGGTTAAGCGTCTGCCTTCGGCTCGGGTCATGATCCCAGGGTCCTGAGGTCGAGTCCCACATCGGGCTCCCTCCTCAGTGGGGAGCCTGCTTCTCCCTCTCCTACTCCCCCTGCTTGTGTTCCCTCTGTGTCTCTCTCTGTCAAATAAATGAATAAAATCTTTAAAAAAAAAAAAAAAAGTAATTCTTTTGAGAATGAAGAGTTTTCTTTTTAGTTTTCAATGGTTTACTTTTCAATTTTGTATATTGAATGTTTTTAATTTTTTTGAATGTTTTTAATTCTGAAATAATTTCAGACTGGCAGAAAAGTTGCAAAAATAGTGCAAAGAATTCCCATATACCCTTCACCCACATTCCCTAAATCTTAGCATTTTAGCACATTTGCTTTATCATTCTCTCTCTTTTGCTTTATGTATGAGTATGGTTATGCTTTTACATATTTATGGTTTTTATGTTAATGTTTTGTGCTTATTCTTTTAATTGTATGGTTTTTATATTTATATATTTGTGCTTATATTCTTTTGAATGTTGGATTTTCTTAAAAGTAGGATATAGTTTGATAGAGCAGTGGTCTTCAGATTTAAAAAAAAAATACTTCTATTAGTAAAAGGCTTTTGAGCAATGTGTGTGTGTATTATATATTATGGTTATACGTTATAAATAAAAAGTTCTGATATTTTCTTCTGTTCTCCAGTGGATCAAAATAGCACAACCCCCGTGTATCTCACTTGGACACCACTGGTACAGAGAATGAACCAGGCAAACTTGCAAAGAAAGAGGGGTTTTTGTGTGTGTGTTTTTTTCCTGTCAAGAGTTTCAGTGACTCTTTAAAAACATTTCTAAATTGTGATTACAGGTCAGAATGAAATGGTAGCTTCAAGCTTGAACAAGTGTGTCTGAACCCCCTCCTGATTCTTACCTGATTTTGCATTATTGAGTTGCATGAGAGATGGTTAAGTCAGGTCACATTTGTAGTGGCCAGAGAAGAAGGTGCACAGCTGCCATCTCGTCCCATTTTCTTATGTCATTTCTCCAGTGATGGCTGTTTGCAGGAAGCTGACTGTAGGAGAGAAGGATCTTTCTTTGAGGTTCCTAGGAGTGGTGGTGACATTTAATCATCTGGTAGCTCTAGTTCTTTCTGTGTTCAACACCAATTGGAGAAGCCCTTTTTATTCTTTCAGATAGTACTTGTAACTGAAGAGAATTCAGTGTTTAATCAGTGATAAGTGTGTGGGGTGTTATTCATAGTAATTGGCTCTCCTGATTTTGTGTATTAGCAGTTAAAATGCCATATATATATGTGTATATATATATATATATGGCTTATATATGGCTTGCCAGTCCACTGTATTGCCTGGCGAGCATAAATGGTGCCAGCAGATTTTGTAGTAAGTAGGCACAAGGGATGCATGTTCCAAAAGAACCTCATCAGGGACTCCCCAGAGACAAAGCTTAACATTTTGGTTTTACCCTGATTAAAGAAGTCTTTCTGGGCGCCTGGGTGGCTCAGTTGGTTAAGCGACTGCCTTCGGCTCAGGTCATGATCCTGGAGTCCCTGGATCGAGTCCCGCATCGGGCTCCCTGCTC